TCTCCGACATAAATCACAGCAGGATCCTCTATGACCCACCTCCCAGAGTAATGGAAATAAAAGCAAAAATAAACAAGTGGGACCTAGAGTAATGGAAATAAAAGCAAAAATAAACAAGTGGGACCTAATTAAACTTAAAAGCATTTGCACAACGAAGGAAACTATAAGCAAAGTGAAAAGACAGCCTTCAGAATGGGAGAAAATAATAGCAAATGAAGCAACTGACAATTAATTAATCTCAAAAATATGCAAGCAACTCCTGCAGCTCAATTCCAGAAAAATAAATGATCCAATCAAAAAATGGGCCAAAGATCTAAACAGACATGTCTCCAAAGAAGACATACAGATGGCCAACAAACACATGAAAAGATGCTCAACATCACTCATTATCAGAGAAATGCAAATCAAAACCACAATGAGGTGCCATCTCACGCTGGTCAGAATGGCTGCTATCAAAAAATCTGCAAACAATGAATGCTGGAGAGGGTGCAGAAAAAAGGAACCCTCTTACACTGTTGGTGGGCCCACTGTTGGTAGGCCAACTAATACAGCTGCTATGGAGAACAATGTGGAGATTCCTTAAAAAACTGGAAATAGAACTGCCATACAACCCAGCAATTCCCACTGCTGGGCATACACGCTGAGGAAACCAGAATGGAAAGAGACACGTGTACCCCAATATTCATCACAGCACTGTTTACAATAGCCAGGACATGGAAGCAACCTAGATGTCTATCAGCAGATGTATGGATAAGAAAGCTGTGGTACAGATACACAATGGAATATTACTCAGCTATTAAAAAGAAGGCATTTGAATCAATTCTAATGAGGTGGTTGAAAGTAGAGCCTATTATACAGAACCAAGTAAGTCAGAAAGAAAAACACCAATACAGTATATTAATGCATATATATGGAATTTAGAAAGATGGTAATGATGACCATATATGTGAGACAGCAAAAGAGACACATGTAAAGAAGAGACTTTTGGACTCTGTGGGAAAAAGGCAAGGATGGAATGATTTGAGAGAATAGCATGAAACATGTATATTTTCATGTGTGAAACAGATCGCCAGTCCAGGTTCAATGCATGAGACAGGGTGCTTAGGGCTGGTGCACTGGGATGACCCCGAGGGATGGGATGGGGAGGGAGGTGGGAGGGAGGGTCAGGATGGGGAACACATGTACACCCATGGTGGATTCATGTGAATGTATGGCAAAAAACACCAGAATATTGTAAATAGCCTCCAATTAAAATAAATTTTTAAAAAAAGAAAAGAAAAGCAGCAAAGCACATAATTGAACAGGTTAAAAAATGATAAGAATAAATGAAATGGTCAAGAAATTTATGGACTGTTTTCAACATCATGAATAATTTGGTAATCAAAGATATGCCAATCAAAATAAGATTATAATTTTTCCTGATAGTATTATCAAAAGTATTGTAAGATAGACATCTTCATATCCGGCTGCTAAGAGTAAGATTAGTAAAACTTTTGTGCAACACCTACAGGGAATTTTAGGTCTAAAAATTCACAAACATGATCTAACAATTTAAATACTGGGAATATACCCTTAAGAAAGTAATTAGATTCTTACAAAGACTTATGTAATAGGAGCTTTGTCACAGTGGTATTTATAGTAGCAAAAATTTAAATTACCCAAATCACAAACAATAGAGTAATTATGCCATGATCATTCAATGAAAATTTAAGATGCCTTAATAGTATGTTGCATGGTAATTTACTTTTTTCCAATAAGTGAGCTGTCCCTTTTTTTTGGATTAGGATTTTTTTTTAATATGATCTCACATACAATCTTAACATAGCAGATAAAAGCAACATTGTGTTAGGGTAAATTTATTTAATGATTACTAATCTTTTAAAATTTATGGAGTTGCAATAAGGCTCATCATATTATTTTCAGTAATGCTCCATGTGTGTTTGAAAAGCTTTTGTGTTCTGAAATTTTGGGATAGATTAGCTCAAGCTAGTTGGTTGCATATCTCAAATGTTATTTATTGTGCTAATTTTTCTTTTTTGTTTTTGCCTGCTGTATCTATCAGTTGGTAGGAAGAATTTTGAAAACATTTACTCACCTGGCCTCTTTGTGTGTTTGTCTTCACAATCTGTCAAGTTTTAAAACATTATATATTTTGACACTTTATTTTCAGATGCATAATTTTATAGTCTCAGTATCTATTCTAGATACATCTTTCTGATAAGGTGAAATTCTTACTATTATATGGTGGCCTTTTTATATCTAATAATACCTTTTTGTTAAAGTCTATTTCATGTATTATTAATATTGGCAGGCTGGCTTCATTTTGTTTGTATTTGCTATATATGAATATTTTATATACTATTTTGTGTACTTTTAATTTAGATGTGCCACTTATGAAGACACTTAGTTGGATTTGATCTTTCTGTTCCTGTCTGAAAATATGTGTTAACTAGAATTTTTAGTTCATTTTTAATTGGTATTTACTGGAAAAAATGGACAGATTCTTAGAAAAGTTCAATCTTCCAAGACTGAACCAGGAAGAACTAGAAAATATGAACAACCCAATTACAAGCACTGAAACTGAAGCTGTGATAAAAAATCTCCCAAAAAAACAAAAGTCCAGGACCAGATGGCTTCACAGGAGAATTCTATCAAACATTTAGAAAAGAGCTAATGCCTTCTCCTTCTAAACTGTTTCAAAAAATTGCAAAGGAAGGAACACTTCCAAACTCAGGCCACCATCACCCTGATAGCAAAACCAAACAAAGGCAACACAATAAAAGAAAACTACAGGCCAATATCATTGATGAACATAGATGCAAAAATCCTCAACAAAATTTTAGCAAACAGAATTCATCAGCACATCAAAAAGCTCACACACCATGATCAAGTTGGGTTTATTCCAGGAATGCAAGGATTCTTCAGTATATGCAAATCAATCAATGTGATACACCATATTAACAAACTGAAAGATTAAAACTGTATGATAATCTCAATAGGTGCAGAAAAAGCCTTTGACAAAATTCAGCACACATTTATGATTAAAACTCTTCAAAAAAATGGGCACAGAAGGAGCCAGCTCAACATAGTAAAGGCCATATATGATAAGCCTATAGCAAGCATTTTTAATTGGTATTTGGAATCATCTCTACCATATTTTGTGCTTTCTATTTACCCAACATTTTTTATGCATCATTTTCCCTGACTTTTTGCCTTCTTTCATACTGAATGAGTTTAGAAGTTTTATACTTTATCTCTGTTCTTTCTATTATATCCTAGAAAATTTGCATATACACTTAATTTAGGGAAGTTTACTTTTAGCTATATTTTTATTCTCCATCAGAAAAAAAGTAAAAACTTTGGAAGACGTTATTTCTGCTGCTTTTCTCAACTTTTCTTATTGCTGCTCAGTATCTTAGACTTATTTTAATCATGAAAGGTGCATTGTTATTGCTTTATACAGACAATATTTGTTTAGGTAGGCACTAGAGTGGAAGTTCCATGAAGGCAGGAATTTTCTTTGTGGTGGTTATTCTTTGCTATACTTCAAGTACTTAAAACAAGACCTACCACATAGTCATTACTCATAAATAATTATTGAATCTGTTGATTGAATATACTCAAGTATTTAACTTTTTTTTTTGCTTCATGCCTTCCTGCATCCTTCTGTAATCATTTTATTAGTGTCTGAAGATTAATTCTTTATACTTCCCTTCAGTGAGGGTTAACTGCTACCAAATTCAGTCTGTCTGTTGTCTAAAATGTTTGTATTTTTCATTCATGAAAGGTACACTTAGTTCTAAAATCTTTTCAGCACAGTGAAATATTATTCCACAGGCTTTTGACTTCCATTGCTGACTCTGAGAATTTGTTTGTAAGGTTCCATGTAAGTAATCTTGAAGGTACTTTGTCTCTTCTCTATTTTAAAAGTTTCCTCTTTATATTTAATTTCACATAATTTCATTATACATACCCTTCAGAGGATTTCCTTTTATTTATCCTTTCTGATAGTCATTAGTGTTCACGAATCTGAAAATTGGTATCTTTCATCTGTTATGAAAATTCTCAGATGTTATCACTTCAGATATAGGTCAGTCCCATTCTTTCCTTCTTTTCCTCTTCTTATGGAACTCTGCTTAGAATAAGACATATCTTCTTACTTTATTCTCCATATCTCCAACCATATTTTATATTTTCCATGTTTTTGGTTTTCTTCTGCATTGTAGAATATATCTTTAAATCTAAATTTCAAATCACTAATTATTTCTTTAGCAGTTTGTAATCAGCCATTAACCTAAACATTCAATTATTCAATCATTTTTATATTCAATGATATTTTTATTTCTGAAAGTTATAGTATTTTCATTTCCAAATCTACTTTGTCATTTTCCATAGTCTCTTGCCTCTTATTCATATATTCACCCCTTCCTTTTCTTTTCATAGCATGTTAAACATATTTTATACTCAGTCTTTAATGATTCAAATATCCCAGTGATTTGTTAGAAGTTGTTATCTATATTTTCTTCTGGTTCTCAATATGCTGCCTGGGAAGGGCTTCATGATGGAATGTTGAGTAAGTAAAATAATACACAACCTAATTGTTCACCTTATGATAACGATTTTATAAACATTCAAAGACAGAGAAGAAAAACCAAAATATTTGCAATTGTTAGTTGCCTTAGGAAAGTGGAATTGCAGGTAATTTTTATTTTCTGTTTTATGCTTTTATTCATAGTCCATATTCTCTACCATAAATATGCATTCACTTCTCTCATAAAAAATATTTTAGAAAATGACTCAAAGAACTTTCCCAAATAATTCCTTTTATCTTTCAATAAGATGGCTTTTTAAAGAATTCTCTCTTAGAGGATTTCAAGCAGGTCAAGAAAATTGTTCCAAACTGCTGCGAGTCTTATGGTGAATGTGACAAGGTTATATTCCAACTTTTGACATGTTCATCATTAACGTTTCACTGGTCCCTGGCCTGTCTGAATGAAGAGATGAATTCATTAGAGACGGGTAAATAAAAAAGTGATTTTCTCTCTAAATTAATATAATGACACACTTTCATGATGAATTTTCTAAATCATTTCAGGTTATACCTTCCTCTCTGTGAGTTCAATTATCTTTGTCATAAAAAGCTTTTTTTTCCACAGACAACCTTTACCCATTTTTCATAGCCTAATTTAACTATAAAGCTGTTAACATCCAATTTTAAAGCTGATGATAAATTGCCTTTTAACCTATTTGAAATTTTTGAAATTAGGTGGTATAATATTCATAGATATAACCTTACCAATTATGAGGAGAAAAAAATGAAAACATAAATATGGCTTTAACCTTGAAACCTGACAGGCGTTTGGATAAGAAAGAGATGAGTCTTTTCATGTATTAAAATTTGTCTAGACTCATAGCCCTGTGTGTCCCTGTTATGATTAAACCTTCTTAACATTTGTCTCCTACTAAATGTGTGGGAAACATAGATTTCCTATTGTTGATGACTCAATAAAAGAATTGCATAATCTAACAAAGTTTCAATAATAAAGAAAATTAGCATTAGCATTTCCTGGTCATTTGTATATATGCTTCACACCTTTTTCTTTGTAAGTAATCAAAATAGTGTGAAAATTCAGACTGAGGCTTAGAACAACAGTGTCTCTTACCCTAAGTCTCTTAGAAAAGGTCCCTAAAATTAATCACAGTGGGCACCGTATCTTATATTTTAAATGAATACCTTCTAATACCTTTTTAATTATACCATGCCATCTACTAACCAAATCCATTATTCTGACATAAAATAGTAAGCAACTTATAAAACCATAAGAAGAATATCTTTGTAAAAATTAATCTGTTTGGGGCTTTTATCTTTGTGAGCCATTATTTTCTAGCATTTTAACAATTCATGTGTATTCCAACTATCAATGATGCATTTTTGTACACTATTTTTTAAAAAGAGCTTTTAATGTGTCTCTTTTGTCCTCCTTTTTCTGACATTTGCTTCTACTGCATGGTTTTTGTTGTATTTAACACTAAGCAGGTGTCTTAGGAGGTAATCCAATATCATCTTGTAAATGAAGTTCTGCAGTACCCTGTATGATAATATCATTTATCCCTCTGTCTTGTAACCAAGAACTTAATGTGAAGGGTTTTATTATAGTCATTTATTCTCTCTCTCTCTCTCTCTCTCTCTCTCTGGCACATTTGAGAACCTTAAAGCCCCAATCAGGTATTTCAATTCCTACATGCCATATCAAGTATAGTTTGGGAACAGTGGGAGCATAAGACACATTGTCCATTTCTTCCTCTTTGCTTTGTGCACAATATCTTTTGGCTTGAATGGAGTCTTCTTCTATTTCCTGCACCATTAGCCTAACATTCACTTCAGTTTCAGGGGTCCCTTAGCCTGCTCTGGTGGTACCAGCCTATCGGCCTCATAGATTACAATGCATCTCACAGTACGTATTTCTTGATTGTCCCTGTATAATGTGGCTGATGAAGTTACACTCGCTTACCAATTTTGTAGAAATACTTCCCAGTTGATCTGCACTGTACCTATGGTTCATTTCCCTGGATTGGCAAAACCCTTAAGTGGAAGGAGTGTGAGATATAATGCATTTTCTTAGCACATTCTTGGTAGCAAGTTGGCTCTAAATGTGCTGATGCATATAGTGTATTTCTACACTGATGTTTCTATGGGAAATCCCATTTAATTTGAGTTACAAGTAGCAAAGATAACAGTAATAGCATAAATGCAAACTTCTCAGAACTTTTAGAGGACAAAAAATTTAGATGATTCCTAAGAATTAAGGTAATTTTGGCTACAAGTAACAGAAATTAATTCCAACTGACTAAAAAACTAAAGAACAAAAGATCTCACTTGACCGGAAGGAAGTTCAGTGGTGGAGTGGTCTTCAGGTCAGAGGAATTCAGCAAGATCATCAAGGGCCCCAGTGCTTTCTATCTCTCTGCTTGTAATTCCAAGTGTGGCTTTATCCTCTGTGTAGCAGGATGACTGCAGCAGTCCTCAGCATCATATCTACATCCAGTAATATCCAGGGGACATTCCTATGGCTATCTCATAGGGGCAAGGAATTTTCCTTTTCTCACTGAAAGAATTCCAATTCAGGTCAAAGTGGGAACATATGCTTGTTCCAGAACCAATCATAGGCAAGATTACTCTTGAAGGAATCCCTTCCTAAAATTGGGGTGAGTTCAGTCTCCCTTGAGGCCTGAGGCTACATGGAATTAAGGATATATCTAATTGAAATTGAGTTTCTAAGATACAAAAAAGTGGATAAATGAATGCTAAACAGGCAAAAATAGTCTCTACTACCTGGTTGTATCGTTAACATTGGACCTTGAAAAAATACAGAGGGAAATGAAAGTCACTGTGGCTAACTTGCTATGATCAGCATGTGTTTTCTGAAGCATAGGTTGACAAAAAGTAAAGGACAATTAGATTGCCTATCTTTTAGCCTGAAGCTCAAATAATTAATATAATTCTTTAGTGAGCAGATACTATAGCTTGGCTCACTCAATAGCCTTTCTATCCCCCTTTTCCTGTTCTTTAGTGATTGTAAAGTACTGTCCTTGATTTCACAGCCTCTCAAACAGCTTGGGTTGGCCATGAGCAGAGTTATGACCAATGAAGTTTAAGAAGTCAAGGGAACAGGCCGCCTTTCCAGGAAATAAATGTTACATTTGGGTATGGTGTTCATAAGTTCAGTGTCTGCCTTGAAACCAGGGAAATAAAAGTCACATATTAAAGATGGTGGAATGAGAAGGCCCCTAGGGTCTCAATGGCATCCCTGAGCTGCTCAATGATGAGCAGCCCTGATCTATCTACCCTCAAACCGTGGGTTATGTGAGGAGATACCAGTCACAGTAGTAGCTGAAAGTGATAGTAGAAAATATAGATTGTCCAAATCATTTCTATACATGTATTCATATTTTGTCTCACTGAATTTAGCCTCTTGTTGTTTCCCAAAGGCCAAATTAGAGAAATTCCTTAAATAGCCTGTATCACAAATACCTTAACTAGTATAAACCCAGGAAACCAACTAATCATGCTCTTGGTGCCTAAACAGAGATGGTGACCATTTATATGAATAAAACTTTGCAGGCACAACTGCCACGTGAACCACCACAAGCTTCACAAATCAGCAGTCCAGTTTGAGCCCACATGTCAGGCTTACTGAAACACTGACTGCAACTTAAGTGAGCAAACAACAGTTAATTATATTTTATCATGTAAACTGATCCTGAGATAGGTCTGAAAACATTAACATGCATGAACGGGGTTGTATGACATCAAGGAAATAAAGATTTATTTAAGGATACTTTGTTTAACAATAATATTTGAGCTCCATAACAGTCAAATAGTAAGCAGACGATCTTTTTTTACTTGGTTAAAAGCACATTGATTAGGAAACAGAACTTTTGATTACATGCAACCAGATGATAAAAGATGTTAGCTGGAGGGAAATTTGTTCTCTACCAATACATAAAAAGTACCTTTAAAATACACCATTGGAGAAACTATTTTTAGTTTAGTATTACAAACTCCTCAACTACTTTTATACCACAGTTTCATTCCATTTGCCTCTCAACTCTTCCTACTGGGGCTTCTGCAGTCTGTTGAAGGTTTCCATTACCTTTGAAAAACAAAACCAGCAATCATTTTTCAAAAGACATTAATGTTGTCAGTATATAATTATTGCTGATATTAAGCATTCAATATGTTACTGAATGTAATGCACACAGAGACTACCTACTCATTGGGATAAACTAACATTCCCCCAAGAAAGACTTTAAAAAAGTTCTCCAGTATAAATATGATCTTAGGTAAAGTTGGGACAAAGAGGTCCCTGTGAGATATTTTACCAAAATAGTTCCATTAAAGGTAAGATTCTGCTATATTTGGAATCTCATTTCCATCAAGATAGCTCATAGTTGTCTAATTTCCTACAGGTAAAACAGAAATGGAAGGATGAATCTAGATAAACACAAAGGGGCTTTTGTCCATGCTCATTTATAAAGTTGGGCTTCCTTAGTGACTCAGACGGTGACGAATTCAGTTGCCAATGTAGGAGACCCGGGTTTGATCTCTGGGTCCGGAAGATCCCCTGGAGAAGGGAATGACAACCCACTCCAGTATTCTTACCTGAGAAATCCCATGCACAGAGGAGCCTGGCAGCTATAGTCCATGGGGTTATAAAAGAGTCGGACATGACTGAAACGAGTAAACAACAAACAAATTCATAATGTTGAAAGTATTAATATAGGCTTCTTCATGGTACATGGATAGTTTATTCTCCTCAGGAATACCAACCATTGGCATCGTATATTGCAAGAGAAAGATGAAGTATTCAGGATTCAATAATATACTGGGGAATTTGTCACTAATATATGTGTGTAAAATTCAAAGACAGTGACTTTAAAATGTTTATATTACTATTTTTAGCAGTGTAATCCTTTCTTGAAACCAGAGCTACAGAGAAGCCAGCGCAGAATACAGACAAAAACAGAGCTTATGGTAAAGCAGAGCTGGCATTTAGTCTGGCCTTCTTAGCTCACACATCCCCTGAGCAGGCTCCTGAGGCACCTCTGGAGAAGTATTAGAATCCATCATAAGGTCCCTAAGACATTTGAGACACTAATGTTTTCTCCTCTATCCCTAATCATTGTACCTATTTTAGCTTCCCCGTGGGGATGATTTACGTGGCCAAGAACTGGGCAGAAGGATCCCTCTCCTGGGAAATAGGAAGAGTCCTGAGTTCTAAACTGCACTTCCTATTGTCTCTCTAGTCCTCTTAAGATATCTGATTAGTGGTATACAGGGGGTGTCTCAGGGTTCTTTGCTATTTCCTAATTGGAAGTTCCAACTCATACTTACTGTTTTCATAGCTGTATAAAGTTGATACTGCTATCAGATGACTACACAATAGAGATCTTTTTTAAAATATTGGTTTACTTATTTGGACGTGCCAGATCTTAGTTGAGACCTGCAAACTCTTAGT